CTCGAAACGTCAGCTTTAAAACTCTTCACGGAGGCCAATTTACGTTATCAACTCAGTTGACAATTTTAAATTACCCTAAGTTTGAGTGAACCGCATTACGCAATTTTCGCTCCAGCTTTTAGTTGGTTTGTTGCTTTCAACTTTTGCGCTTTGTCTTGTAATGTCTCGTTCGTTCGAATTTCTTGTCGGTTTTTCATTTCCCAGAAGATATTTACTCACTCTGTTGTCGTGAGCTGCCAGGAAGGGACCACATTAAAAAAAATGACGAAGAAAGAAATACCACCAGTGGTGCATGGCGAATGCAATAGCTTAAAGTGGAGGGACAGACTGAGAATGTTAAAATTATCTTTTCAAAAAATGCATACTATCATAGAACCTTTATTGAGGAGTGCTTCAACATAGTCTCCGAACAACTTCTTGTCTGGAATCTTCCAGAAAAGTTATTGCTCAGACCGTTGGTGATTACATTCTTCAAAAAGCTCGAAAGGGATTCGGAAACATGCAAAGCTACTCTAGATGGTAATGACTCTAATTCCGTCGCTCTATCCATAAAGCAGTCGTACCCACTTCTTCAATTTCATTTGCATAGAAAATTACTTTGTTCGCTCTTTTCGTCTTAAACCCCTAGAACAGGAACCCTTTGACATTGCAATTATGTTAAACACAGCTACACAAAAATAGCTGCAGGGCTCGTATTTGAAATGAGTCACTACTAGACCACTTCCACCCGCCTGCTGTCGTCTTTTGCTTAGGAACAAGCTAGTTTATTTGTCAAATAACAAGGATGCTGACCATTTACTTAAGACTAAATGTAGAAACTCCCTGCTACGCCTTTCAACTTGCGTGCCATTCCTAACACCGTTGGCGCTGTCGGCATTCTCTTTGAAGAGAGTTTTTGGACTCTCTCTTTGTTTGGCTTTTGTGTGGACTTTAAACCAATTTTAATAATTTGTTCTAGTTGGATTGCTAACGGGAAAAATGTTTTAAACACGGTGATGTGCCTGAACACCTCCTGCTTTATAGTATTGTTTTCTCTGCACATCAGCTCAAGAATACTCCCTTTTTCAACCACAGTTTCTTTGGGACTCTGCTTAAGAGTGCAACTGTACATAAGCATGGGACATCTCACAGACTAAAGATATCTCGATAAAATGGAAAGTTTGAGAACAAATTATCATGACGTGCTGTTAGCCCTCTGCAGCCTTGGAAAGAGACTATAATTAAACACAGTCATGTTGAGTATGTTGGAAATTCAAGTGATGCAGTCTTTTACTTTAAATCGAACAGCTAATTACTCGAAATTAAATGAAATGAAAGCGCACATATTGGCATTCAATCGTGTCATCGAGCTTTTTTTTGTATCTTCTCGTTTGCTCCACCATTGTTGGTCAATTATCTTGGAAATTTTAGTTTCAAATGGAAAACAGTCTTGTTGATAACAAATTTTCCTTGACCTCTGGATATATATATATAAATATAGCCCGGGGTGATAAATTGTTTCAAAGCGGAAAAAGTAAAAAAGTTCTTTCCATTTAAAGACACTGCCAACTTGTTTTCTAGAAAGCGGAACTTTTTCAAGCCCCCAGGCAAGTCATATAGAGTAGAACAATGAGAATGTTATTTTACATGATGTGATGAATACTGATTATTTCACTTTATCGGTCACTTAAAAATTTTGCCATAGGACATCGTAGTTTGCTTTGGAGATTAATGAAACCTTAATCCTTGGAAGTGTCATAGACTTTTACCATAAATATGGATAGTTTAAACCAGAATACAGTGCACGATGATTCAAATATCTGCAATGTGTATAATTTCGTAATCAAAGCTCTTTGTTAAAGAGCAATTTCAAGTGTCAATAGACAAGTTGAATACCAATGACTTTCTGCAAATACACTAATACCTGCAGATGTAGAACTCTTTAGTGAATTACAGTTGCGTCACTGGTAGAAGATTGGACTTTTCTGGACTTATAGTGTAATTTCATCAAAAACGTTTTTCTTAAATGCGCTTATCTTGGAATGTTTTCCAATTTCTGTTATCACGATCTGCAAAACTTTCGTCCCTCTTCCTCCCTCTCTATCGTAGTAAGCAAAGCTAACCGAAAAAATGATGTATAATACGATTAGTTCGAAACGTCGCCTCACCAAAGCAATAACATATGAAATCCATTTCTGGTGACCTTATACTAAGTCTAGACATTACAGTTTATTTTTACATATTTTGTTGTGAAATGTAACTATGGTAGTTTAAACGAGGCTGCGTGTAATTTATGTACGCGTGGAAGTTATCACTACTTTAAAATTGAACTTGCGTTAATTATTATAATTATTATAATGTTATGTTGTCACGCATTCTCTCAATCATTTTTAAATCTAATTGAGTGCAATGACTACGAATCACTGAAATACTGAACTGATTGTCATAAATTAGAACTGACCAATAATATCAAAAGCTGAAAGTCAATATCACACGATCAGTAAAAAAAGAGCAAAGCTGACGTCATATTTTGCTAAATTTGGTGCCTAAATCGCTATTCAACTTGCCCCTGGCAGTTTATTTTCAGTCTAGGTGCCTTGATACGAAACAAATTAAAGAACCTACCAGTATTTTATACACTGTTGTTTGCGGTCAAGCCATGCTAATGATTCCTTACAAATACGTAAAGGTGCAGTCTGGCTCTCATGGGTTTCCAAGCAATCAAAACATAACAAAGTCGTTTCAACACTTAGCAGTAAACATTGGGTCAGTTTCGAGCTTGTTTTTCCGATTGCTAAAAATATCGAAATATCCTAGACGTTTTAGAAAAAGAAGCTTTTTAGAGAGAAGAAATGAGTAATAAACAGAATGGCACAATTAATTCCAAAACGAAAAAAATGTTACTATTAAGTAGTGAACATAGTGTCAATTTTTTACCCTTGTTTACTTCTATAATTTTCAGACTTCTTTTTGAATAACAAAAGAAGAATCGAACTTGTCATGCGTCATGAGACACCCACGTCATCGTTGGAAAGTTCTTTTCGCTCCCTGGCAACGTTAACTATCGCTTTTAGTCGATGTATTTTTTCTTGATACAACACTAATACTAGTAAGTTCAAAAAAAATTTTCCAATGGGGTTGTTCATGCATGTTAGGGTGCGTTCCTTTGAGAGGATCCGAATTTGGATTTGTGATCCACGATCACACAAATCACGGTGCATAAAAGAAACAGAGTTTTAGGGTGCGTTCCTTCAGGAGTACGCACGTGGGTTATTGAGCTCTTCCCTGAATGGCTCGTCTAACTGCTTTTAGCCTGCACTATTTATTAAAAGCACATTTTTTCATGGTAAACTCAAACGATGGAATTAAAATAGAAGCGAGTATTAATTACGATATGGATACTTGGGAGCCCTGAATGCCTGCGATCAGTGGCCAATCGATTTAAAATTACAAAATCGATTTTATTTCGTGTTTATCGCAGAATTTGCGGAGCGATTGCCAACAATCTTTCCGGTCAATATATGAAGTACCTACTTATTTGAAATTGAGCACCGCTGGGCAAAATGATTAATTTCGGATCCTTCGCCCAAAGGAACGCGTTGGATCAGTGATCCAATGATCCGACTTTAGATCACGCAGATCAGTGATGCGATGAATCGTTGTTCAGAGTGGATTTGATAGATCACTGATCTGAAAATGGATTTGCTCGAAAGGAACGCCACAGATCAGAAATCCTGATCCGTATTCTCTCAAAGGAACGCACCCTTAGTCTTGACCCTCAGCAACGTTCTCTCGAACCATCTTTCGTTTCAAACGGGGTGATGTTTTGTTACCTTTTATAGAGTTTTGCAGTGGAGCTTTTTGTGAATCAGGAAAGAATATCTTCGCATTCTGTTTCTATTTTAAAGTCATGGAAATAGTTTCTGGTCCGCGAAGTGTCTTTGATGAGCAGAAAAACAGTGATGTTATGGATTGGAATTGTTTGTTGTGTTTGTGTCATGCATCTGAAGAGAGTTGTTGACGCTACCTATGGCTCAAATAGGTGACTTAATGCCGTTAATTGAGCTTATCGTAATTTCGATGCTGGTGAGCATATTTAGAAATAGCGTAGTGAGTGATTTGGATAATTTCCTCCGTTAAAACGAGATGTCAATACCACCAGCATGCTCCGAATCTAACCTCCAGTTCTCAGAGAGTAACGTGAGGTGCTAAGGACGGGTTTCCCTACAGTCGTAATGCAAACAAACGATTAACTTTGACAGGTGACTTCCATTTAAGAATCAAGGTTATCGATATCGTGTTATTTCAATTTCTTGTCTTCGTTCGAATGTATTTGATGCCACAAGTTTAACATGGCTTGTAATTATCCCTAGCACTACTTCAAAACCCGCCTCAAAATAAGCCCCTTTATTCTACCAAAACTACTCTTCAGGCGTCCTACTTTATTTTTAGGCCACAGCGTTATTAAATGATACGGTTCAACTTCTTTTCAACCGTAACTTATTCGTCGTTGAGTAGGGAGTCGATCAGACCGTCATACGCATCTACAAATTTACAAAAAAGAAAGCTGAAAGGAAAAGACAGGTTATAGTGTTAAAAAATTTAAGTCACAGAAGGATATAGAAATGGTAGTAAGGATACTTCATCAGTAACATGGAATTCTCAGGGTTCTTGTGGTTTTTTTGGAGTAAAAGGCAATTTGGACTTCGAAACATATAGTTAAGTATGTTTTTATCTTAAACAGCTAATAGCTTTAAAGAACACCAATGCTCTTCAACAGAACACACTTCACCTTTTACGTTTGATTGCGTTTTGTTTGTTTGTTTGTTATTGTTATCTGAGAAGCAGCTGGGTACACTACGCATAACGCACTGGGTACGATAGATGACAGAGAAAGACTAAATTAGGTGTGAATTTTGTAAAACTGGAATTTTTTGGAGCCCTAACTTTAGTCTAGGGAGTACTAAAGTACACAGGCGATATCTTTTATCTTCGCCATGTGATTGTCAGAAGAGACAGATTGCTTAATTTCAAATCGCACTGGAAATTGGCATACTGGATTTTTGCGGACAAAAAAACATTTGGCGTCGACCGTGGTGAGAGGAACTATTCATGGTGTTCGCCCTTAATAACGTATAAACTGCATTTAATTTGTTTTGCTTCACCTTTTGTTGGTTCTGGTTTGGAAGTCATTTTGAATTCAATTTTTTTTTTCTAGTAGTCTCGTGCGACGCAATGTGGCTGAATTGAGACTCTTCTTTCATACAGTGCATTCTTTATTAGATTTTCTCCTAGCCTAAAAAAGTTCCGCAGATGATATGGAACCAGAGTGTGAAAGATTACTCGTAGGAATTTGTGCAAACAAAACTTAACCCGTAAAACATGTCTTTTAACACTTAATAGAGCGCAAACGATATTCTAGGAAAATGCCATGCACCATGCTACTAGTAAACCTGCTTTACCGTAGCCTGACAGCAACGCAACAATTTTAACGCCTAGTTTAAACTCGCCTCTTTACTTTGCTCACATGAAAAATAGGCTGATCAACACATATGCGGCATCATATGAATGTCAATCAAATGCGAATCTCTCGGAGCGTAGATCAGATGCAAAAAGAAATTGTTGAAATTGAATCCACGGCTCTTTTTCATATTAGAGTGTAAAAAAAATTTCACCGTATGCCAAAGAAACCGACCAATTGAGGATTGATCATTCAAAGCTAAGCCTCGGAGGCTCCTGCAGATCCTTCCTGAGTTTCTACTTCAGGTGGGGCCACACTCACTGGTCCAGTGGCCTTGAAGCACCAGGGTACACCCTGTACAGTGTGATCAAAACAGCAACCTCTGTCGTTCTCACACTCCTCACGCTGAATACCAATGTAACCACAGTCTTCGCGTTCTTGTGGTTTAATACCATAGCATTTGTTGTCTTAAGAAAAATAGAAAATGAAATCAATGAAGATGGGTAGTAAGGCGGTGAAAGTTACCATGCAATATCTAAGAGAAAAGAAAATTTACTTTGCAAATGTTGATTGAAAGATGATAAAGTCGTCGTGGTTTAGTATAGATAAACCGCTGCGATGAGAAAAGCCCGATTGATTCACAAAACTACTGCTTTTTAATTGTTTAAATAATTTTACTAATGAGGTCTAAACTCGAAACCGTTTCCACATAGAATTCTGTAGACACTGTTTATTCAACCAGAGTGAAAAAGACGTATCGTATATGAACCGAATTAAAATATGACTTAATTTGCAAATACGTTCTCTTTATCTCAGATAGTACAGCAAACGGCCAACCGTCGAATTTAAATATTTATGACTAAGAACTTAATCTTTTTGTCACATCCTTTTCCCAAGGTTAACTACAGTATTCAACCGCTTTCTTTACCTGTTGGGTAGAAACACCACTTTGCTTTTGGCTTTGTGTCGTCGTAGCAACAGCCCCTGGCCTCGCAAGTAGCCTCGTCGATGCCGTACCATCCACAATCGTTGCGATCCTCAGATTCGACATCGCATATGTCGCCTATTTTTGAATTAAAACTTCACTAAAACTTTACTGAAACTTGTCTCAGGGTTTCATTTCACGAAAAATTCAATCATCTTTTTTTTTTAATATTAGAGAAGCAAATCAAACTAGTGATTAATGTCAGGGAAGAATTCCAAACTTTAGGACCTTTTTCTATTTATTTTCTTCATTGTTGGCGATTTTTGCTCTTTTAATCTCCAACAAAAACCTTACCAAGAGTGGAATGGTCATTGGCTGGTTTGGCTGGTGGCTCAGTTCCTTTGAAGCACCAAGGTACATTTGGCACAGTGTGATCAAAGCAACATCCTCTATCGTTTTCACACTCCTCTCTTTGTATCCCAGAATGGCCACAATCTTCTCTTTCTACTGGGTCAATACCATAACATTTGTTGTCTGAAAAATTGACAGAAGTAGAGATATGAACAACACATTTTTAACAAAGATTGTATTTTTGCTAAAAAAAAAAAGGTTTAGAAACACATCTTTCTTTTTACATTAGTACATTTTACATGACAAATTTTCTGTTTGATTTCGCATGTGTGCGACGCACTTGCCATTGGTGATGATTGTTTGGAATAGAATGACTTTAAGAGTTTTAACTCTGTGTTTTGGACGTTAGCAGAATGCATACTATTCGCGTCACTTCTTTCGGGATACTGTGCGATTTCAGGGTTTCAGCGTCATCTTGGACAGAAAGAATAGGAATATATGTAGATAAATTGTGACCATATAGTCGAACCCAATGAATTACTATAAATCAGAACTGTGAGCCATGCCACCATTTGGTGTTAGGAGGCTTAATTATACAATAGTTTTCGTTTGGCCGAGCTAGATCTAGCGCACTTTACTTTTCTTTGATTATTAAGTTACTTATCCGTGGTTTAATAATTACAAACCAGTTGGATAGAAACACCACGCTACATCCGGCACTGTTTCGTCATAGCAACAACCTCTGTATTCGCAGGTGGCCTCATCGATACCGATCCATCCGCAATCGTTCCGATCCTCAGCCTCAACACTGCATACTCCTCCAGTATAAGAAAATAAAAAAGCATTGAATCTCTCAATGCACTCTTTCTCTCCAGAGGACGATTAGGACACAATTTATCCCTCCAATTTCAATATCAAGCGCACAAGTGATAAGAATACAAGAGCATTTTAACTAGAGGACTATTTTATTTTTATCTGAAGCCAAACTCTTTAAACTAAAAATATGACAAATGTCTGGAAGACAAGAAGGAGAATTACTAATTTAGATCTTGGGATTGAAATGGTCAGAGTGCATTTGTGTTTTAGATCAGGTTAACCAATCATAATTAGTCTGTGCTTCACAAAGCACCTCAGCAATTGATCTGAAGACGGTTATAAAAACTGTCCTATCGAATGCCACGCTGGTAAGACGGTGTAACTTTTGATTAGAAAGTGCATTTCCAATGGACTTAAATTCTGTTTTACCAAGTTACTTTAGTATTTGAATTTAACGCAGATGATGTCCTAATTATAAGATCACTCAGGCTTCTTGGGTATTCGTTTTGGCTTACATTTCCCAAAACATAAATGACTCACACACTCTTTCATGCACAAGTTCTTTTTCAGATGCAAAGGTTATATTTAAGCTGCTCTCTGCAAAATCCACTCTTTATTATATGGCATACTGCTAATCTCTCGTAATCTCGAAAATGTTATTCACTATGATGTGTTTTAAAAAGACAATTCGATAATGTCATGTTATTATGAAATACAAAGGTGAAATTACCTTCGGCTGGTGGCTCAGTTCCTTTGAAGCACCAAGGTACATTTGGCACGGTATGATCAAAACAACATCCTCTTTCGTTTTCACACTCCTCTCTCTGTATCCCAGAATAGCCACAATCTTCTCTTTCTACTGGGTCAATACCATAACATTTGTTGTCTGAAAAATTGACAGAAGGGGAGATCTGAACAACACGCTTTTAACAAAAGATTTATATTGTACTATATTTTAGAAAAAGAGAAGGTTTAGAAACACATCTTTCTTCTTAGATTGATCTATTTTATATGATAAATTTCCTGTTTGATTTCGCATGTGTGCGACGCACTTGCCATAGGTGATGACTGGAATAGAGTGCCAGAATGTTTGACTACGTATAAGCTCTTTGTGTTGGACGTTAGGAGAATGCATACTATTCATGTCGCTTCTTTCTTATTACAGAGCGATTTCAGTGTTTTAGCGTTATCTTGGACTGGCTGACCACTCACCTCGATTTTATGCGAGAGCTTTGAATCCCGCAGGCTAACTAAAATCTCACGGGTTGACCTGCTTTGGTCTGGATACTTTGGGAATACATGTAGATAGATTGTGACCATTTAGTCGAACCCAATAAGTTACTACAAATCAGAGCTGTGAGCCACGCCACCATTTGGTGTTCGGAGGCTTAATTATACAATGGATTTAGTTAGGCTGAGACCAAAATATCCATTCCCAAGCTAGATCTAGCGCACTTTACTTTTCTTTGATTATTAAGTTACTTATCCATGGTTTAATAGTTACAAACCAGTTGGATAGAAACACCATGCTGCATCCGACACTGTTTCGTCATAGCAACAACCTCTGTTTTCGCAGGTGGTATTATCGATACCGATCCATCCGCAATCGTTGCGATCCTCAGCCTCAACACTGCATACTCCTCCTGTACAAGAAAATGACAAAAGCATTGAATCCTTCACTGAACTCTTTCCCTCCTGAGGACGATTAAGACATGATTTATCCCTCCACTTTCGATATCAAGCGCACGTTATAAGAACACAAAAGCATTTCAACGAGAGGATTATTTTTTTTGTCTAATGCAAAACTCTTAAATGTATAGTAGACAAGAAGGAAAATGACTGATTTAGATCTTGGGATTGAAAGGGTCAGAGGGCATTTGTGTCATAGATCTGGTTAACCCATCATAATTAGTCTGTGCTTCACAAAGCACCTCAGTAATTGATCTTAAGACGGATATAAAAACTGTCCTTTCGAATGCCACGCTGGTAAGACGGTGTAACTTTTGATTAGAAATGGCTTTATCAATGGACTTATATTCTGTTCCACTAAGTTACTCCAGTATTTGAATTTAACGCGGATGATATCCTAATCATAAGATAGCTCAGGCTTCTTGGGTATTCGTTTTGGCTTTCATTTCCCGAAACATAAAGGACTCTCACACTTTCATGCACAAGTTCTTTTTCAGGTGCACAGGTCAAACTTAAGCTTCTCTCTGTAAAATCCACATATTATTATATGGCATACAGCTTATCTCTCGTAATCTCGAACTATTATTCGCTATGATGTATTAAAAAAAGACAATTCGATAATGTCGTGTTGTTATGAAATACACAAAGGTGAAATTACCTTCTGAAAGCTCTTCTGTGGATAAAAAAAAAGACAGGAAATAAATAAAAAAATGATTGTATCCCAGAATTAATAGATAACTACATCCACGCTCTTCCTTTCCCTTCAGCGATCGATTGTCAGCTTGTGTGAGAGAAATTGCCACTTTGTTAAGACAACATATCAGTTGGTCAGAAAATTAAAACATTCAAAATCAGCCAATTTTCTTTTAAACTATATTACTTAAAAATTCAACTCAGATTGTGTTCCAGTCGTAAGATCATTTGTGCCTCTAAGGTTTTCAGTTTGGGTGTCTTCTTAGATATCAGTTTTTTTCACTGTGGCAAGTATGTAAGCCCGGCCACGCATGAGGTATTGTTCTAGCAATTCTTAAGCTTGCTGGCGTACATATGATCTAGAAATGGTTATTCAGTTTGATAATTATACAGAAAAGATAATTCAACAACTTAAAATGATCTAGCGAAGGTTTATCAACGTATAATTACCTGCAGAAGACTCCTCTGTAGATAGATAAAGAAAAAAATCAGGAACATAAGATTTCATCAATATGACATGATATAACAAATATGCTTTCAAATAAATCTTAGTCAGTCAGATTTAATATACTTTTTAGTTGACGTTTCAGTCCATAAAGAAAACGAACAAACCAAGAATTTGAATTTTACAGAAAATCTTAAGTTCGCCTAGTTTTGTTGGACATATTCATAAATGAATAGTTGAGAGATAATTTCTTTACCCTGAGGATCTTACTATATCTTGTTTTTCCAACATCTACCTCACAGCACTGAATCATAGAATAATTTGTCTACTTGTTTAACAAAAAGGGTCTTCTTTCTTTTCCTCTTCCATGACTGACCGGTCAGGGTTTATCTTACCAAGGATTACACGTGAGAAAAATTTTGAATTTTATTAACGAAGAAAATGATGCAGTTATCGCGATTTTCACTTTGTTGCTTCATTTGAGGATGTATTAAAGCAGTCATATTTTCTTCCAATATTTAGTCACCTTATATTATACCTACCAGTCTCCTCAGGGGGAGGTCCTTCGAATTCTTCGACTTCCTCGAGATCCTCGAGTTCCTCTTGATCTTCCAATTCCTCGGGATCCTTGAGTTCCTCGAGCTCTTCGGGCTCCACCAACTCCACGGGCTTAGACTCGTCGAGTTTCTCGTACCGATGGTTCGAGGACGTGTGACGGCCATGGATAATGGGTGCCAAAGCAAGTAAGGTGAAAAGAAAGACAATCTTGGTTTTCATTGTTTTACCTGAGGAGCAAGAATCATGATGTGGCCACCATCAATGATAGATCCTCATTTTGAAACTCTTTCACTGGTTTTGTTTCTATCTTTGGAAATCATATAGCTGTGGAGTTTTCGAAGAATTAGTTAAGATCTCCTCGCAATAAAATAAGTTATAGCGATATTCCCCGTGTAAATTAAAGCGGAAGTTCTGAAATTGAAATCCAGAAACCTGAGTTTCTTTTCCTTTCTATCGCTATTTAAGTAAACATGGTTCTGAAACCGGGGTCAATCACTTGAATTTATTTATTTATGAAATGACGGCTTTTTATTACCAAGTCAAAGTCCCAGTGCGATTTGTAAAACAAGATACGCGTTTACGATTAGTATATGTAATCACATGAGGCCAAGTACTATTAAGGATTAATTGCACGAGAGTTTTCAAAATTTTCCAAAATTGCCCAAGTCGCGAAGCGACGAGGGTAATTTGGAAAATTTTGAAAACTCGAGTGCAATTAATCCTTAATAGTACGAGGTCTCATGGGATTACTTGTTTATCAATAAAGGGCAAAATTTATACGAAGGAAAATCACGCGCGCAGTCTATTTTTATCTGGGAAGCCTGTTTAGCGCTACGGCAAATCATCAATCAAATTGAACTGACCAATCGATTCAATGAAATTTTATTCTCCAAAACTGTGTCAATTAATTTCGCATTTCGAAAGTTCAATTAATTCGTCGTCCGCTTCAATAAAACGACAAGCCATTGTTGCAACAAAAACTTGATAACAAATTTCAAGATAACGAACGGTTGCTATGCAACGGATTAGCCAATCATTAACAGGTAATCATGCCCTCTCTTGATTACTAAAAATGCCCTCGATTAAGAAAAAAATGCCCTCTCTCTCAACCAATCAGCGCTCAGTAATTTTGCCCTTTATTGATAAGAATAGAAAACAGAAATGAAGTTCAAATTCTGCACGATTCTTAGAAAGCTGCCTCACAGCTCTTGCCACGTCTCAAAAATAGTAGTCGTGAAAGTATGGCTTTTCTCCCTGATGGGAGAGGGAGGGGAGGGGAAAAGTTGGGGCTGAGTGGAGGCCGAGTGGGTGGGAAGTCAATGATGCTTTCTTGTAACCTTTACTGCAGTTATCAGAGACAATAAAACGATGGGCTTTCAACTACCGCCATATGTACGAAGGAATGGAATTTTTTTTATTACCAAAGAATATTTTTAACAGATTCGCCCAATCCTAATGTTTTCTTAACCGTTCTCTAGAAAAACATGGCTTGTAATTAGCGGGGAAGGAGAGATAAGGGGCTTCTTTTGTATTCTTGGTTCTTCAGACTTCTTACCTCAGTGATTTTAAAAGGTTTTGATGCAAATAGGTCCGTTATGCTTGAAAAATGCGGTTGAAAAGGATTACCTTGAATGACACGATGACACTTTAATTCGATAGTGTTGATAGAAATGAAGAAAGACCTTTCCCCACTTTTAATCCCTTGCTCATGCAAGAAAATTGGAACATTTTATGAACAAAATGCATAGAGTATTTTACATTTGTATTAGTTAGAAGCCCAGCTTAAATTTGCACGGTTACCACCGCAGTGACTTTGAATGTTGTATGCCTAATGTTTTGTAATTAAACCTTAGTTGATTGTTATGGAGCCAAAAATTGTTTATGACCTCTTGTGTGATGATCCGATTCACTGATTTGTAACTTTTTTATTGAAATACCTCTGTAAAGATATAAATAGAAAACTTGGCACCAAACCCTGATTCCACATCGAATAGAGAAGGAATCGTCTTCAACTTGTACGATTGCTTATCAGAGCACACATGAAGCATTTATTGAACAATCATCTCAAAAACTTAGCCTTTAGAGGAAAAAAGCTTTTAAGTCGTGGTGCTGAATTATTAATCTATGCTCATTTGTTTTTTTAATATCCGCGCGGGAGGAAGGGGGTGGACCACAATTTAAAACTACAGAAAGGGCTCCCTCTTTTCGTTCGTGGAATGTAGCTCAAGTGGATGGTAGGAAGACATAGAAGTGAAAAGATCACCTCTCATTGGCAAATTCTTTGGCCTCGATCTGCAGTGTCGAGCACATTTGTATACAGTTATTACGTTCATGTGGAAACTAAACGGTCGATTGGTTAATATGGTTCTGATTTAAGGCAAGTTAGGCGCCCAAATAGATTATGCTGATTGAAAGTAAGTGATCCATAAACTCGGCGTCCTTTAGAAACCTCAAGCATATTTTGTCATTCAGTATATTAAAATGATGGTTTTAGTTTCACAAGTTTCTGGTAAAAATTTTCCTATTTGGATGAGAAGTATTGAGCGACAAGTGAAGTCCACTGGACGTCTTACTCGCTTAAATCGGTTTTGTTCTTGACCCCTTGATGTTTGGGCGGACACCGCCTTTCCAGCGCAAAGCGCCAAAACTTGAAAATAAATTTTGAGAACCTTCATCTCGCACTTCGGGCAATAAATTCTTATAAATGGGTACGTTTCCTGAGCCAACTGTTCACAATGGTAATTTGGCATCAGGCGTAAGGAAAAACTATCTCACTTGCAGCAAAATTCCCCATGTTGTCAATTTATGAATTTGTATCAGCGACATTCTAATCTAACCGTTCATAACGTTTAACGAAATTATGTCTCGAGAAATTACATTTGAGAAGTTCAATTCTTCTCCGGCAGTTGTGAGTTGTAGTTTGTACGTTTAGGCTGTTAGAATATTTTTGGTGTCCTTTACAGTGAACAGAATGCTATAAATTTTTAATGATTATTTTTCACGTTTAAGCTGTTAGAATATTTTTAGCGTCCTTTACAGTGAGGAGTTATAAATTTTATAATGATTACGTTGCAGATAGGTCAGATGCTCGAAAGGAGACTTACGGCTAGTTGTTTGTTACAATCTTTCAGCTTACCTGTGGGCGATGCGTGAAGAGAGATCGTTAGGAAAGCTGCAAACTTCAAAATTTCTTGATGCTTCGTTCAGCAACGCAGTAAATGAGTGAAGCGAATAAATTTGCGCACATTGCTATATGAAAATGTCATGCATGGCATGATACTTTGTTTTGCTCAAATTTCTTCATCAATAGAAATCATAAACAAAAGGGACAAGAAAACACTGTCTTCATTGTTCTCCCGGTGGACTAATCACGAAATGTTCTTCTCGAGACCCAATCTTGCCTGTGTTCAGTTGTCTCATGATTGGACATCGTACATGTTATCCATTGAGTACTTTGACTCGTATAGAGGACGTTTTGATGATGTAGCCTAACTAAATAACCAAAACATTATGCACTTTTTCTCATTGTTTTCTGATTTCCACTGATTTCCATATATCTGCAGAGGGTGTTGTCTTAACCTTTTACACTCTACCGTCACTATGAACATCTCCATATTGTTTCCTATTCATTTCTTAAGGTGCTGTGATCAGAGGGTTAAGTTGATATTTTCCTCGTGTATCGTTATCTTGATTCGACAAATGAACACATAGATATATCAAGTCCCGACCTGCCGTTTTGATAGGAAATATTTGACAAGTCAAGAAGAGGGCGATTATTGAACCACGCACTGAGGAAAGAAAAGATGTTTGAATAACGAACGTATAGCCATTTAGAGGCAGTCTCAAATTCCTTTACCTACCGTAACTTAAAGAAAAAAAATTCCTTGCAATGGGTGGCTGCCAAATAGATCGCTTTACCACAAATCCACAACTGGGTTGTCTCTTGGTCTCGCTTTGATGTTTTTGTTAGCTTCAGTGACCCTTACACACAAGCTTTGCAGCAACTGGAAATCTTTTTCGTGCCGGTTGAAGATAACTTCTTCAAAGAGTATTTTGGCCACACTTTCGTGTTATTTTCAAGAAATTAAACAAAATTGAATTGGTAAAGTTAAGCCTTCTCTTTTGGGGCTTAGAATCAAAGGGATTGAATTATTTTATGTGTAGTATTTTTTAAAATGGCTCTTTGGTACGAAGCTCAAAGTAATCGAGAGTTTTTGCATATTACGCTACTTCCTACTGGTTCACATGTCAGCAAAAAAAACCAGCCCACCCCTTAACGTCTCAGTTTTGGGATGAATTATAGGTTTACAACATTATTTATATTACAATTATTATTATTAATAATTATTATTGATATTTCAATTTCTCTCAAAACTGAGACGTTTAGAGATGGGGTCTATATTGTTCGCATTTGGAAAGCGCGCTAAAAAAAATTTATTGTCAAGCGTATTTAGGATCTCACTTGGTGTTGTGACAATGGATGGGCATGTTTTGAATTAAGATATGACCTAGCGGTTACGTTTAAAGCGAGTTGCAATCACCATTATTATATTATGCGCACTTTTCAGAAGGATCGATTCCGCGACGAGCAACCTCTGCCTTTCTCCATTCAAAACAACGCGCACTGTTTTCCATGTATTCATCAAGTGATTAATAAGGCGCAAAAAAGACTTTTTAACCCATTGATGGTCAAAGACCTTTGATTTTATTTCATTACCGTTTGGTTTGAGGTTTTAAATCATGAATATCCTTTGTGTAGCCTGTTCCAGGTTCTCCTTTGACTGGAAGAGAGAAGACAAAAGCGGGAGGAAAAAATGGCGGAAGGCAACCGAAAGATGTCGTTGGCCCTCACTATCGCTCGGTTCCAATGACAAAGAGCTTAGACCGGACTACACCGGCCTTATATGATGTTTGGTTTACAATGACCCTGACAACTTTCATCATCCTCAAATGCCATTTATCTGAAGAGTGAGAAGAAGTATACAGTTATTTGACAAAATGCATAAAAACGGCGTCGTTGATAGCATTTGTTTCAAATTTGACGTGACGATAAGGATATTATATTTTTTCATTTTCATTGCGCTTCATGGACTAGACCTTTAACAGTTTGGATCGGTAGCTTCACAGCATCGATACAAATAACTGCTTTATTTGCGCTTCACTCGGGAAGAAAAAGAGAATAAAACAAACAAACTGCCAATCCTTGACATCTTCACACAATTCACAAACAATAAACTGACACATTGCGAAGTGTCTTTACGAGCGCGCCGAAAGTCCCTAAACGAAACTTACCATCTATAAATTAAAAACGCTGTTCTTGTTTTTAATATTTAAGTTAATCTTCTGCTAGCAAAAAGGGAAAGAGGCGATTCATACGAGCTGTTGGATGAGAACCAGTCTTAGTCATTGACATGGTTTATTTTGCCAAGAGTAAAATTGAAGTTGATTTTGAACAAGTAACATTTTTTCGTTTCCTGGTTCATTAAAGGTCTCGAGATAAAACCCTTAAATTGCATGAGTTTCCCTAAAGATATTAAAGAAGTTGATCTTGATTGATCAGTTATTTTTACTCTTTCTTCCTTCTCTCGAATTCTTTGTTCCTTTTTTTTCTTTCTTGCTCTTATTTTTCTTGTTTCGTTTTATTTCATTTTTCCTATTTTTTCTTGGCACAGCTGCTACTGGTGATTAAGCGTTTGTCTGTTATAGATAGTAGCCCCTGTGTTCTAAATATACCATTATAAGTCCAAGGCGACCATGAGAAAACAAACACGCTTCCCCCTTCTACTATAACTTTTAGTTTTGGTTGATGTGTTCCACTGGTGGTAGTTTGTTGTAACGATTTTTATTATCCGTCGCAATAAAGCATCTATCGTTTGTATGAGAGTTCTGGATAAACGTCTTGTTATAACTCAGTCTTACCTCTAATAAACAGCTGTTGGATAGGCTGTGACGACCTTGCCAAAACGGTTCTCGACGGTTGTAACCTCTACTCTGCTCGTTCCGATCCCAGGCGTATCTATATCGCACTGACAGTAGGTTGATATTGGCCGTCCCATCGGAAAATACCATCTGCCAGCTCCGCGTCCTTTAAGGAAGCAAGTGGTGAACAAGGCCAAATCAAACGCTGGGCTTGTTCCAACAAACATGCTGCTCGGGTTGGCTTTTTTTGCCCCTCTCCATGTGAACAAGAGATCACTCAGGAAATAAGGCTACAGATGAAATGATACGTACGGAATCATAATTTCACGTTTTAAAGCACCATCCTAAAAAGAATTTACTAAAAAAATTCAAGCTTCTTTTAAACCGTTCATATTCTTTTGACTTCCTACACTCGGAGAATATCCTCTACTAGTATTCATCTTTGATGCGATTTCTAAGGTGAACTGCAGAGGCCATATCTCGATGCATAAAGTTCACGTCTATAACTATTTAATGTGAAAACTGACCCGTTTGTTCGCCTCGACATTCGGTAGACAGATTATCCCTGTTTTGCCTCTAACTTCTTCCGTGTAGAACTGGTACCAGTTGTGAAATCCGTTGTATTCGTTGGAAGCTGGAAATTTATTTCCTGCGATTGGCACAAGCATAAACACCCAAGTTGATTGACAAGAAGGAATGTACTTAGGTTTGCACAATTTTAGCGTTTTAGCGCAGTTTTAGAGAACGGGAATTGAATAAGACTCGAGCAGAGTTTTTAGACGGAGAGCCTTGAAAGAGACCATGGAATAATATTTTTGAGAAGTTAACTCACCAACAAAAACATGTTTAAAGCCGTGGCTGTTCGAGAACCACATTTGTTTTAAGAGATGTCTAAACTGTGGCATGGTAGTAGTCTGCAAATTAATATCACAAAAAGTTAAAAAAGAGTGACAGAATGAACGAAATGTATTTCGCTGAAATCACTGATTTCTTTTTTCGTTTATTACTTTCCATTATTTTCTCGTCTAATACTACTTAAAACAGCTACATTTTGTCAAACATAATACCCATGAATTTCTCTGAATGTATGAAATATTATTTTGCAATCTTGCTTTGAGAAGTGACGAGTTCGAACGCATTAAATTACGTCTTTGCGTCACCAGGGAGCTTTTTTAATTTCACCCCCAAGAAAAATAGGTAGGCAACTGACTGTGAAACATACCACGCCATGAGGAAGTGCGTTCGCTTGAGTTTTCAAGTAGTTGAATGCCGCTTCCCCGGGTCCGCCTGGTTGGGTTACTGCGGTGATGAAGGCATTTATATGGTGCTGATCAAACCTCAGGGGGGGAGCTTGAAAGTCAACTAATAAATCTGTTGTACATGACAAACTTGATAAATAAATAAATTAGTTGACCCAATTTTTTTTTTTAAATATTGTCAACGTCTACCCAACACTGTCTCTTTTATGGTCACTTCAGCTGGTTAGAATGAAAATAGGTTGCTTCCTTTTTTTCTAAATATTTAAATTGTTCACGCTCTTTCAGTGACTTCAGTTTTGTATGATGTAATGAACATTTTCCATACCTCTCAAAACAACTAGACCCATTTCAAGCCTATGAAATGTGGATCGACTAAAAGAAAACTGTAAAAAAATACACATTGCAGAACATGAATTGTGTCCAACAGTAAGAAAATGAATGAATATAAATGATGTTTCATTTTACAAGTAAATTTTTAACTACCATTTCTAGCGATGATCGCATCGAAGAATTCTGCTTTTATTTTTATTTCGTCATCGAAAATTTATCAGTAAGGTTTGGGAAAAAAGGTTATTAAAAAAACAAAAACAAAACAATTACGTATACCATGAAAGCTGGTAAAGACGTCACTTTGAAGTTTTTGATCTCCTAGTGATCCTCCTCCTTTCACCAACATGAACAACGCTTTTTGGTAATTTCCCTCATTAACAGCTAATTCTCCAGGAAGCAGCAGATTGTTTTTAGCACTATCCCATATATTTTGACAAACATGACCTCCAAGGTAGAGAGACCTTAAAAATAGAAGGAAAACATGTCTTTTGAAGTAATTTGAAAAATATTGTCCACCTTTCTATAAATAGAAAAATTTTTCAAATGTAAAATTATTGATACACTAAGTTGAAATAGTGGAGCTATTTGAACTTAGTGTATATTATTAGTGCTAAAGGACTGGAATACGAAGAATCTGTTACCTTGCTCTGAACAAAAGAAAAAGTCAGTAGGAAAGGGGTGATAATTTCACAGCAGTTTTATACACGGACGTGCAAGCGTTGATTTGGTTTAATAAATGCTAGTTTAGGCCATTTGTTGGGTCTCGCTCACACACGAAATGAAATAAAATTACCTCGCGACATACGGTGAAGTCAACAAAATGAAGACGAAGATTTTCATCTTAATGATCTTCCTCTTAGTACACGAGATGTCCGTCTATAACAATTGGTCGTTCAACCACCGACTTTCTTGGAGGTAAAATTCCTACGCGCTTAGTAACAATTTCTGCCGGTTCGATTTATAAATATTTAAATAAACTGAAGTGACATGAAAACAATGGGAGCTAACATAAAAAGATGAACATTTTATTCACTGAGGAGAGCAGTCATAAGGAGTTGTAATCTCGCTGTTAGAATTTGAACGAGGCAATTAGAATGTGATATTTTTCGAGGAACTAAGGATTCGTTGTCGTTCGAAATAACAAGCATTGAGTAGCATTAAACTTTACTTTATGTAATTAATCCTTTCCTGATATGATATCCCTTTCTTTTAAGATATTTACCCTTTAGCCATTAAGATATCGATTACCTTCACAGTCTTTAGGTTCCGTCGGTACGTATAGAATGGCCTCATTTCGATGCAACGGTTTGATGAAGTTCACCAACTGTGTGTTATGTTAAGACAAGTGTCTCAACATAACAAAATTATTTCTATGAACGTTACCACTGATACTTAAAAGTTAATATATCAGTGAGAGCCTTCTGTGGTCATCCTTCTTCCTTCGAGCTTCCCTATTTGCCTGTTTGTCGTTCCTTATAATCTTTTTCGGCGGACATTCTAGTCCGGAAATGAAAACTATTCAAAGAAAGGTTAGAAATGAGCAAGTTACTGAAAGAACCACTTAAAAGGCAATTAAAGAGTGTCGTGAAGAGTTGTTACCACAGTCATCTCTTTATAATTCTATATCGCAAGTGTTTTACAGTCAATTAAGGTTAATTAATATTTCAGAGAGTATTCTGTTCCTAAAAGGTGCGGATTCTATATCGCAAGTGTTTTACAGTCAATTAAGGTTAATCAATATTTCAGAGGGTATTCTGTTCCTAAAAGGTGCGGCAGGTTCCTGCAAAAAACCGATCCGTGTGCACTGCTTTGTAATTAAGTTGATGCGATTGATTTTCTCGTTGTTTTCATCGCATCAGTTTAGATAGCTCCCAAGCGGTTTTGGGAAATAAGCTGAAAATCTTACTTTGGCACCAGGTGATTAGATGGAGACCCAAAGTCGTCAGAAGTACTTTAGAGCCACGAGTCCTTTTTTTTTATAAAATGGTTCCTTTTGAATTAAAATTTAAAAAAAATGATTTACCATGTACTCACTTTCCATACGGAGAAAATTGGTGATCGAACTTTTTTTTCGTATCCAGGACATTAAATTGACACACAAAAAGATCTCTTAACTGGTTAGGAGCCAAATGTTTATTTATTTTATCACTGGTTTGAGGTTATAAATCGTTTATTAGTCTTGTCAGCAGCCCATATGTGATGGGTTCTTGCTTTTGTGTAGCCTGTGCCGGGCTCACGGTTAGAAGCAGCAAGAGAAAAAGCAGGCAGGTAAGAAATGGCGGTGAGCAACCACCAAGGAACATTTACCTGCTATTTCATTTTTATCTGCTGAACCAGATCCCGGAACTGATTACTTATTTTGTGATATGTAGTGTTTATAATAATTCGGAAATCTTTGGTAAAGGTCTCGGCTGTTATCTTTGTGTGCCGTTTATCTGAAAAAAAAAAAGAAGCTATTCATAAGTTATTTTCAAATTCACGAAATGACAAGTTGTTGCTGGCATGAGTCTATGAACCAGTCTTAGTTTGTACACCGTAATCGATTGACAACAAGAACGACATCCTTCATCTCGAGGGATATTGCAAGGGGTAACTTCAATCCTCGCAAATTGCTTCCAATTATATTAAAATATTAAAAGTTCTTGATAAACCTCGAGTTATAGAACCGAACCATAATCTTACTTCTAATGGACATTTGTAGGGACAGCTGTAACGACCTTGCCATTTTGGTTCTCGACGGTCTTTACTTCTACTGTGCTGTCCCCAATTCCAGGCACATGGATGGTGCAATCACAGTTGGTTGTCCTATACGGTCCCGGAGGTGGATGTACTCCTCCAGCAATTCCGCGTCCTTTGAGGAGGCAAGTGGTGAATAAGGCCAATTCGAAAGATGGGCTGGTTCCAACAAACATACGGTTGTCTGTAGATCCTTGCTTACTCTTCCCTCTCCATTTGAATTTAAGATCCCTTATAAAGGTTGGCTACCAATGAAATATAAAGTTAGAAACTTAGGGATCTTTCATTAAAAATTTTATATTTCAAAGAGTTGCTGCATTATTTGCGCACCCGCGTTTTAATTTGTTTATTTTCGCGTGCTCTGATTGGTCGAGGATTGCGTCATATCTTGTTATACTCACCTCGCGCGAGGTAATTATAGAACAGCGCTAAATTTCAAAATGGCTTTTGTGTTCGTCAATGTTTCAGAGGAAGAAATTTAATTCGGAAAAGCACTAAAGATGATGATACTTATGGCGAACACTTTTTTAAGAAAAGATATGAAGCTTTTGCTGATTGGGTTAAAAAAAACCTGTTCAATTCTAAGCGAGATCGGCTGCTCAGTTCTAGAGCACAATTGCCAGAATTTTAACATCAAAAAGCACATACAGCTAAAGAGTTTCCGTTTAAATAAATTAACTGCAGAAAAACAGACCCTTTTGTCCATAACGAATGTCGGTGGATTCTGTTTCTCTATCACTTTCGGTCTATTCTCTTCGGTGTAGTACTGGTACCAGTTTTGAAATCCTTTGTAACGGATTTCGTTTGGGACTTTGTGCTGGAACTGTTCCCCTAAGAAAGCGAAACGTGAACACAGCATTGGGTTAGGTTGGATGTTAAGCTTTGTAGATTGTAGCTTTCGTAGCTGATTATGTCAAGTCTGGAACTGTGATAGACCTACGAAGACCTTTAAGAAATTTTACTTACCAACAAATACATGCCTAAAGCCATTGCTGTTGGTAAACCACAGACTTTTCAAGGTGGTTCTGAACTGATCTAAGGTTGTCTGAACGAAAGAGTCAACGTAACAGTTATTACAACTTGAATACCATGAAAGCGAAATGTATATTTCCCACTTTGGCAATAATATACTTTTAACTCTATGCTTTATTTTGATGCTACGATTGCTAACTATTTTTTTCATAGAAATATACAGCTATAAGCATGGTAAAAGGTTATCTTATAATCTTGCGTCGAAAAGAAACGAGCCTATTGACTTTTTAGATCATGAGTTTAACAAGCACAAAGCATACCACGCCAACAGGCAGTGCGTTCGCTTGAGTTTTCAGGTAGCTGAATGCCGCTTCCACAGGTCCACAGGGTTGGGTTATTGCACTGATGAAGTCATTTATGTGCTGTTGATTAAGAATGTAAGCTTGAGCTTGATAGTCGACCAATATATCTGTAAGACAAAAAATAAAAAAAAAACGCGATTATCAAATGTTAACGCCAACCTATCTCTAAGCTACTCCAACCTGCTTAAATGAACCATTATCTTCATTTCCTATTTTGACATGGTCGCTTTAACTGTTTAGAACATAGAAAATTGTATCCGCTTTTAAAGCGACAGCCATTTACGATTGTTTGTTTTGCTAGTCTACTATGTCTCAATCAAGAATCTTTCAATCTACGACCGCATCATTTCTGTGAAATATACATCAACATTGCACATTACATATGCATTGCAAAGTGAAAAGTTGAGAACTTTCTCGTCAGTCCTAATAAGTAAATTTCTAGCACTCCTATCGAGCGGTGATAGCATTGAAAATGTAATTGAAAATGTCCATCCGTCATTGAAAAGTTCCCTACAAGGTTCTGTATGAAAATGACACTTGAGAGTTATTTATTATACCATGAAATCGGGTGAACTCTTCGCTTTGGAGTTTTTGGTACCCCTGAGCCCCTGCTCCGTGCACCAATGTGAACACTGGATCTAAGTTATTTCCCTCATTAACAGCTAATTCTCCAGGAATAATCAGATTATTTTCAGCGTCGTTCCACATTTTTTGACAAACGTGACCTCCAAGGTTGAGAGACCTTGAACATAGAAGGAAAAGACGTTGTTTGATGTTATTTGAGGAATATCGTCCTTCTACATCTAAATGACAAACTTCTCGAATAGAACATTATTGATACTCCAAGTCAACTGTTCGAGAGTAGTCACTGCTATAAGACTCGAATATTAATAAACTTTTAAATAACTTGCACTGAACATAGGAGGAAAGAAAGAGACCATAGTTTCAGTCTAAAGCATAGTTTACACTAACTGTTGATGAAAAACGTCTAAAATCTGGAGTAATAAATGCTAGCTGAGCCATTCAATGGGCCCCTCTCGTATACAAAATGAAAGGAAAGAAATGTACCTCGCGTCATAAGGTAAAGTCAGCAAAACAAAGACCAAGATTTTCATGTTAAAGATCGCTCTCTTTGTACACCAATTATACATCTGTCAGAATTGGTCGTTCTTTCACCGAGGTTCTTGGAGTTAAAAATTCCTGCGCTCCAAGTAAGAATTTTTACTTGATCATGCCATGAATATTTAAAAGTTCCGGTCTAGAGCGGGAAGTCCTCAGGAAGTGAAAGAAAATAATTAACAATGCAACCAGTTGTAAGTAGTAATGGTTTCAAAATTTTTTTATGAAATATCAGCCCCTAGAACATCATATAGTGAGGAATGTATGTACAATGTAGCCTTTGCATAACCATATATTGAAATAAACTTCGAACGTAATTTACTCAGGAACAAAATATAAACCCTGGTGATGCACTGAGATATCGATTGACTAAGAACATGCACTTATAAATAAAGTTTCTTTCTCTTAGCAATCCAAGCGTGAAAAGACTTGTCCTTTTAGTTTCAAATATCAACGATAATTATAGCCATTAAAATATCGATTACTTTCAAAGTCATTGGGGTTCACATGTCCTTATCACATGTCCTTTTATCGATCTAAGGGTATATCGAAGTTTATCGACAAAGGGCGGAAAATAGTTACTAACATGAATATCTCCACAACAAAAAAAAAAATTATTCTCAGGCTTCCTAGGTGATACCTAAATACACTTGGGATAAACTTAAAAAAACATATGCATGCTATGCATGCAAGAGTTATTTTTTGGGGGTGGGTGGATTAATTGAAACATTGCAAGTGATGTCTACATTTTTACAAAGGAAAGAGTATTAACGCGGAAAAGAACAAAAATGTCGTAAACGGCGTAATTTCTTCCAGTTGGTTGTGTTTATATGGAAGATTTTACACCAGTAACTAACGGCGTAATTTCTCCCAGTCAGTAGTCTTTATATGGAAGATTTTACGCCAGTAACTTACGGCGTAATTTCTTCCAGTCGGTGGTGTTTATATGTACGATTTTACGCCAGTAACTTACGGCGTAATTTCTTCCAGTCGGTTGTGTTTATATGTAAGATTTTACGCCAGTAACTAACGGCGTAATTTCTCCCAGTCGGTGATATATATATATATATATATAAGATTTTACGCCAGTAACTAACGGCGTAATTTCTCCCAGTCGGTGATAAGTATATGTAAGATTTTACGCCAGTAACTAACGACGCAATTTCTCCCAGTCGGTGATATATATATATATGGAAGATTTTAAGCCAGTAACTAACGGCGTAATTTCTCCTAGTCGGTGATATATATAAGATTTTACGCCAGGAACTAACGGCGTAATTTCTTCCATTTCATTTTAATAAATGTCGGAACAGCCGTGTAAAGACAATAAACATCGTAACGATCGATGCAGTCACAATGGCCCCAAGAATTCGGACTTATTTGGAAGGATAGATCTCGAGTTCGGAGCCGACTAATTACGAAGGGTCCACGCCAATTTGCATATCCCAAAGAGCCCACGACAACTCGTTTCTACGCTATCGCGTATCCACGAGTTAAAAACGACGTTCTGATTGGTGCGAGATACATACCACTCTATACGCCAACATAGAGTTAAAAAAAAAAAAACGTGGGATGTTTACCTGCGGCTTTGTATTTTTTCGTTCGTTTCTATTCGCCTTTGAAATCATTTCGTTCTGCGATATCCTTGATAATTATTTGACCAGTTTGGCTAGTATCCATCGCCATTTTATTAAAAGATTAAGACTTTTCAAGAAAATAAAGGAACTAGCCGATGAAGGAACTGGTCAATGGACACTGAATGAAGGAGCGAGAACATGAATATTCCAATGCCCTCTTTACTGTTCTACAGTTGTCACGTTGTCACCTTTTACGTGCGATTTACTTTTGTAAATCAGTATGGATGATATTGCAGGTTACACACTTGGTACTGTGCGGCTAGAGCAGTATACCGTATTTTGAGATGTTCCCTATGCCGTCCTTAAGGTCACTTTCTCTTCGCTAGGCAACAGGTATGACAACTCTTAGCAAAAAAACCGTTTGGTGTGTTGCTTCACAGAAAAAATTCGCTGTTGTATTTGCATCAATTTGACTAACCTTGTCTAATCGGCTGAAATGGTTGCCTTTTTATAAAGACGCTTTAATATCTAAATGTGCCATTGCTTACAAGCTATTACAAGGTGACGTCCCTGTTTATTTTAAAAATCTACTGAAATTAAACAGTAACATCCACAGTAGACAAACCAGATACTGTAATTTTAACGTAACCTCTCCGAGGTATAATCACGAAACAGAAAGAGGCAGAACTTTTACAGTCACAACTTGCAAAGCATGGAACATTTAATCTTTGCCTGTAAGGCAAAGGAATTCAGTGGACTCTTTAAAAAAAGCATTGTGGAATGAATTTTTTAAACAACAACAGAATCTTGATCATTTTTCTATTTAAGTTACTTGATGAATTGTGACATGATTATAATGTTATATTTTATCTTTTAAATAGTTTAGTAGATTCTATAGTATCTGTATTCTTTGGTTTTTTCACCTTGTATTTTTTATAGCTTAGTATACTCATCTACTATTCTATTATTTATTTATTATTTATTTATTTATTATTGAGAGGGCCACAAGTTTATTAGCTCCGGCTATTTCATGCCAACCCTAATGAAATAAAGTCTTTACTTACTTAATTACTTACGATTTGTGTCGGGAACCAAACCCTGTTTCCGGGTAATAACTTTTCACAAGCACGTCGCAACGACTTGCGCCCTGTGACTCGAGGAACATTGGGAGTCACCTCCCGGCCTATTCGTAATTCAAAAACATTTATCAGGTTTTTCAACATAAGGGAGTCGCTCCTAAATCAAATGAGCTGAACATCAAAATTTCGCCTGAATACTCTCGAACGATTGTTAATTACACAACCGTGTAATGCTTGAAGTTTTCAGCTCTATTACTTGAGGAAATGTTTCCTTAATGGCTATCTTAGACCTCTTTTGGAGAGAGTCAGCGCTCTCTTTCCGTTCCAGTCCTTTGCGAGGTAAGAGTAGTAGGTACACAGTAAGTTATTTTCACTTAAGTAATGCATGGCATAACATGCAGATAGAACACTAATGAGTAAACGTATCACGCTCTCGTGTGTAGGTACGCAGCGATCTCGTTGATTCACGAATTCTGACTGGTCGGCAAACTGGATAGTAAGTGAGAGGATATCTTCTCCGCTGCAGAATATGAGTTACACTCAAACTGATCAAAAGAGTGGACAGAAAAAGTTAAATTGTTGCCGTTCTCCGCAAATGTGGTTTCACATCCCTCATAAGGAAAGATACAAACTTATAATTTACTTAGTAGGGGACAACCAGGAGCCCATTACCCGGAGCCTCCGTACCAATTGTACCTTTGAGTCAACCCTGTCCTGTATCTTGTTATTTTTAGAACTGAGATATGTGGGGGGCTCTTTAATTTCCCGCGAAAACATGCTGACGTTCGCACACACCCTAAAAAAAATAGTAAACTTTCCGCGCTTTTGTCATTATTGAAATACTTTCGTGTGACCTGCATGTAACGTAAATAATAGAGAACCACAGCTCTCTTATGATTGGCTATTATATAAACAGCTGCGAAAAGCCCCGTGGGAGGTGCTTTTCAAAATAAAAAGAGACGGGACAGGGTTGACTCAGAGGGTAAGTATGAAAGATGGAAGCTCCGGACAATGGGTTCCCGGGACAACCTTGTCCTATTGTAAATTTACCTGCCTTTGGCAAATTGTTAAGTAGATTTCGGTAGCCCTAAGACAGCCGAAGGAAAAGTTCAAAACTCTTTTTGGAGGATCGGTTTTTTCGCATGAACCACTCGCGATGAAAGATTTAATGAAAAAGCGGCTCTTAAGATTAAAAGAGAACAGTTTATAAGGACATGGGGTTTGAGGGAAGCTTTTCCCAGTTGCAAGTTTGACCTCAAATTCTTCAGTTGTCAGGTTTGTAATCGATCTTTTTTGACATTTATTATCATAAAATCCTTATCCAGTAACGGCATGGAAAATTATGCCTCGCGGTGCGGCGTTAGATTCAGATTTGCGTTTTGATTTCGACTGAAAAGGAAAAACTTTTTTTCCCCTAAATTGGTTGCATTATGGTTGAGTCGCTGTCTATGGCTTCAGATCTCGACTACTCTATACCAATGTTGAGGGTCATTTCATGCGGTTTGTGTACCGTTTGTTCGTAAGACATCTGTCTCACACATTATCGTCTAAATTAAAATTTTAATGCCCCAGATAAATCCCGTGCGGTAATACAAGATGGTAATCTTTCATTTATCGAACATTGGTTGGATAGGCTGTAACGACCTTTTCATTCTGTGGGTTCTCGACGGTCTTAAATTGTACCAGGCTCTGCGGTAACCTTCGGGCTGGTACATGGATGTTGCATTCACAGTCTGTTACTCTATTGCCGTTTCCTCCTATTACTCCTACTCCTGGCGCACGTCCTATCAATACACAAGCAGTAAACATGGCCAAATCAAATGCTGGGCTGGTTCCAACGAACATGCAGCTGGTGCTGCCCTGTGGTGCTTTGTTCACCCCTCTCCATCTGAATGTTAGTCCACGCATAAAATATGGCTGTAAATAAGAATGTAAGTGGGAAACTAAGTATTTACCTCTTTGTTTTTAAAATTCAGCAATCGGCTGTCAAGGGCAAAAAAATGTTTATGGTGTCAATTAGGATCACAACGATACAAACCCAACGGAGGTATGCAGCCTAGCACCACTCCTCAGTGAAGAAAACTGGAGTAACGGGCTTTTAATTGCATAACACTTACGACATTACGAGCAGTAGGCTAAGATTACGTTACGGCATCTTGTTTAGCCAGCGCTGAAAGCCTGCTTAGTTCGGATTATTTCGAAGCATTTTTCTCTTGGTGCCTTTTTGAACATGAACATTCAAGCAGAATAGTGTGATTGACACTGTACGCTTGTATCCTACACCACCTTCCTTAAACGCCGATATGAATGAATGAATCAATCAATCAATCAATCAATATTGCATTTACGAACACAAAGAGAGTACCAATCGAAATTAAATCTAAGGTTTACAGGAAGGTATGGCTTCACAGATTTTTTGGTAGATATTTCCACTCTGAATGAAATAA